GGAGTATAGGAAAGATACCTGAGAGACACAGGAACATGTTTTGTTCCTTTCCCTCTCCCCTTCATCACCATCTGCAAATAGTATGCAATGAACCAAGAATCAAAGTCATCAGATAGCCCACTCCCATCAAAGGGACTAGGGGTAATATCATAACAGTGTTAAAATATCTCAGGGGATGCCACAAAGAAGAGGGAGTCAAGCTATTCTCCAAAGAGCCTGAGGGCAAGACAAGAAGGAAGGGATGGAAATTAATCAAGGAGAGAAGCAACCTAGAACTAAGGAGAAATTTCCTGAGAGTTAGAACAATTAATCAGTGGAACAACCTGTCTCCATAAGTTGTGAATGCTCCAACACTGGAAGTTTTTAAGAAGAGACTGGACAGCCATTTGTCTGAAATAATATAGGCTTTCCTGCCTGAGCAGGGGGTTGGACTAGAAGACTTCCAAGGTCCCTTCCAACTACTACTACTACTACTACTACTGCATATAATAAACCCCCCAAAGCCAAAAAAATAAGAATGAAGCTCAAAATATTTTAATATTCCCAAATAATTTTATGCTCTTTAAACAGCAATTGAAGAGGGATCTGTGGGAACAATGGTAGCTATAGAATATGGATTTTCTACTTCTAGTATAAGTAATAAAGCTATATATTTTTGGAAACTCCAAAATAAAGTTCATTATCCATCCAGTAAGGCTCAAAGAAAGTAAATGTAAAATAAAGGTCTGTTCACTGTTGGTAAGCTGAATGATATTTTAGCTTAACATAGTTTCAAGGAATATTCTTTTTCTATTGCTGTGAACAGATTCAGTGGACACTGGCTGCAATCATAATAGATGAACCATGATTATAAAGAGAGCAATCTAGCATATTGACTTCTTTTCTTTTTCTCTCTTCTTCTTTCTTGGAAAGTGGCTAGCTGAATCTGGGAAATCAGCACTGAGGATAATTTAAGGGAAATGTAGCACCATTGATTTAGGGACTTCTATCAAGTATAAAACATTTTTGAAATAGACCTTTCACTTTATTATAACACATATTTAAAGTCACCCACCAGAACTTAAAAGCTATCATTGTTCTTTTCTTTGGGGATCCAGCATCATTAGAAAATCCATCTGGGATATATTGTAGCCTGAAGTTACATAAAGGAGAACCTAAAGTGTATTGCACCTAGTTCCCAAATGCTGTCTTGTATTTTGAATCCAGAGAGATACACAGTCTGATGTCATGAAAGCAGTGCCATTTCTGATTAGATACTAAACATCTTGTTAAATTCTTTAACTTATTCTTAAATTCAGATCAAATGTTGAATTACTGTAATATGGAAACTTTCCATAGAAGTATGCCTTTTTTTCGCTTTAATAATAGTCATCTTAATTTATCATTCGTTTGAATTCATTTAACCATTTTGAAAAGCTCTGATTCCACTTTTAAGACCATAGGATTATCTCACCTCCATTCATAAGTGCAAGCTCTCCCGTTCCTGGGCAGTTTAATTTGGATGTAGCTTTGCCATAATGGCAATTAATCCAATTATTGGTTCATACTAATTGCACATACTAGTTTTTGCAGGTTGAGGAGGAAAGACATTTATTTCAAGAGATCTTCGTGCTGCAGTTTATTCCTCTTTTTTCTAGCAGTATTGATTCTCCCCTTCCCCCCTAACACTAGAGATATAAGCATATACTGGTCATAAACTGAATGGATGTTTGCATTTTTCCTTTCTTTAAGCTGACTGGCTATTTCTTAAGGTCACATACTGATTCTAGATTTGATCTAGCATGGGATTAAAGGAAGAAATATGATTTCTTTAACTAATTAAATAGTTGTTGTAATTAAATGGGAGAACATAGTGGAATTGCAATTAGCAGGAGTTTGCTTCTGGTTGCTATCAGTCTTCATTAGATTGGCTGCCTAACCATTAGCAAATATGGTAGACCTAGAAATGATGCCTGGGAAATATATATCATCATTTGTTCCACTCAAATCACTTACCTTGGATTTGGCAGATGGAAAGAAACAAACTGGTATCCTGTATACAGTACTTTGTGCTTTGGAATCAGAAAAGCAGTGTGACAGTGATGGTCGCCTTCCTGTTTATTTTTTTAGTATTAATTCTAGTCAAAAAGAATATTTAAAGGGCAGTATGTATCAACAATGTGTCCATCTATTTGTCTGTGAGTATAGAATATAGTGGGACTCAGAAATGGCTGTTTAGAGCCGTGATCGTGCAGTGGTTAGAAAGTAGTACTGCAGGCTAATTTTTTGACTGCTGGCAATTCATTTAGGAAGGCAGCTCATTTATGTCATTTAGGAAACTATTAAAGACCTATTATCACCCTCACCCCCCATAATTTGGGATAGAGTGACCATTTTGTCATTTTGCTTCTTTCTCTCTCTCTCTTTCACATACACACACACACACACACACACACACGCACAATCACAACTTTAGAGAATAGTAGAAACACAGAGACACACAATCTTGTTCTTTCATCACTCAGAAGAAATACAGAAATACAGACATGTTCTATGGCAATTGTCATGAAATGGACTGGAAATAATTCCAGAATAATTCCATGATAAAGAAGAGGGGCAGGAACAGAACCCCTTAATCTGTTGAATGAAATCTATTGGGAAAAACCAAGTAGGAGATAGTTTTCCCCAAACCGATGGGGTGCCTTAAAATAGCAGTCCTATGGGTCATGCTTCATTTATACAGCTTTGTTTTATTCAGTCTTCACAAATGTAATTATTATGTTTTTCATGGCAATACCCGAAAAGGGAATAAATGGCTTTTTAAATGAAATGATATATCCTGATCAGATGTGATTTGTTTAAAAGAATTACATGAGAGACAACTTTAGACACATCTGGATGTCAACAACAACAATAATAATAATAATAATAATAATAATGTGATTGTGATCTTTCTTGATGCAGAAAAAGCTCTGATAGTGAGAATGAACTTTTATTCCTGAAGTTTTGAAAAATATGAGTTGTCGCCCCTTTTTTCTCCACATGAATATAGAATATTTATAGCTAACAAAATGCCAAGTGAATAGTAAACAGATCTCTATAACACCTGTGCATCATACTGAAATAGGCAAGATAAAGATTGGACCATATCCTCTTATTTCTATTGGCACTAGAGCCATTCATGCTGAAAACATGTCAAGGAAATAATATCTCAGGGGTTAAATTAGAAATCAAAGATACAAATTAAAAATTATGCTATTCCTGTACTCATTTACCCAACTAGTACTGGATAGTATTAATGGAACATATGGAATACTGTATATACAGCAATATAGGCTTGCTTCATGTAAACAAGTTGAGATGGAATTTAACAGAGAAAGCAAAGCAATACCGACATTCATAACAGGGCTTAACAAAAAGAACAGAAAAAAGTGAAATAGTTAGAAATCCACCTGTCAAAAAATAATAAGGATTTATTTAGAAATAATTTGTTGTGGTTGGAAAGAACTGCAGCTGTAAAAATTATTTTACCAAGACTTTACTTCCTTTTCTAAATGATTCCAATACATATTCAAAATACGTTTTTAAATGATTGGCATCGACAAGTAATGAACTACATGTGATCCAACAAAACCCAAGGATTAAATTCAGTTTTGACAGATTTGAAAGAACATGGAGATTTGGCAGCTCCAAACTTTATGTTTTATTATTATGCCGACTGCTTAATATGGATTGCATGGTGGATTATTTTATGGCCTAGTTACTTCTTTTAAGGCTCTTAGTTCACAATGATTCAATTCACCTGACTTGTTTCAGTGTCTTCAAATCAGTAGGATAGACATAAAATAGTTGCAGAAACAAGAGGGAATAGACACATATACAAAGATACACACACACACACACACACACACACACACACACACACACACACAGGGGTTAGGGGATAGGAGGTATATTATTCTAGGCCTGATTGCTAAAATAGATAATTCATTCTTTAAAAAAATGTCTGAAATGTAAAGAGCAATGTAGCAAAGTTCAACAGTTTTGGAAAATGATTTGTACCAAAATGAAACAAATCCTAACAGTTCAGTTCCCATTTCAATCTGTAATGTTTTTATTAAAATTTGCTAACCCATATATTCCCTTAAAACATAATAAATTGGCTTTGTATATGTTAAAACTGGTGTAGGGATGCTGTATACTGTTTATTATAGGGAATCTTATAAAAGAATCGCTAATTGACTTGGCATTACATTATGGCATTCAAAATAACTTAATTACACAAAATTTAATTCAAATTTGAAACCATTTCTAGATTATAGCTTAATAGCACACTTAAAGTTGGCATTTCTCTACGAATAAGATCTACATTTTAATTTTAAAATATTTCTACATTAGATCAGAAATTTACTGACGTGGATAAAATTTACTGTAGTTCATAATTTTATTCTGTGGCAAATACTTAGTCTGCTGACCACGGTTCCTGATATTCATGCTTTGTTTACCGTTTAATAACAATGTTCATGCTTTTCAAACCATGTAATATTCAGTTATTCACAATCAATTAATGGTATCTTGGAAAATGTAACCTTTATGACGTCTGTAAACCTCTTGTTTACTCATATGCATTTTAGTCTTTTATTCCTTTTCTTTGCCTATTTATATGCTTTCTTTGAACTGAATGTATATAGGTGTATTTGTGAGTCTGTGTGTTCACGTGTGTGTATGTGTATGTATACAATGTATATTCATCATTGTAACACATCATGTGTAGGAATAATAACCAAATAACCATACCTTTGATACTTGACCGAAGACTTGGATCAGGGTTACAATAATATCCCTGCACAGTAATTCATAATCCTTTTAAACTTCCTCCAAATTTTGTCCTTTTATGTGATGCCATTATTAGATTTATTTATTTTGGAAATGTTATCCCAATATATATATCAAAACCCACAATATACCCCAGTAAGATAGGTTGATTATATTAACCCCCCCCCACTGCTTTGTTTTCTTACCTTTGCCTTGGCAAGCTGATAAATGGCTGTTTATGACACCTCTTACTGAGGCTAAAGAGCTTGTGAACAATTTTCTGTGCCTTAAGGAATAGTTGTTTCATGCTGGATTCCAGTTGCTCATAGCGATGCTGGAAGTTTGAATCCATTGTCCACAAGTGCATAATGGCAGATGTGTTGAGGAAATAGTTCATGGGCAGCCTTTTCATAAAGAACTTGAATTCATCTGCAAAATGGCAAAAATTAGTATTTTTTTTAAATGTTATACTTCCATGATCATTTGCACAGTCAAAAAAAACAACAAAAGAGCCGAGGTGGCGCAGCAGTTAGAGTGCAGTACTGCAGGCCACTTTAGCTGACTGTGTTCAGCAGGTCAGCGGTTCAAATCTCACCGGCTCAAGGTTGACTCAGCCTTCCATCCTTCCGAGGTAGGTAAAATGAGGACCCAGATTGTTGGGGGCAATGTAAATATATATATACATTGCTTACTGGTGTACACCGCTCAGAGAGTGCTTGCACTTAAAGCGGTATATAAGTCTCATAAATAAATAAATAAATAAACAACCCATCTCCAATTTATGCACATTTTTATCCCTTTCATTTGTCACTATCATGGATGGCAGAAGATGCATCAGAAAATACGATACTGTTAATTTTGTCTGTGTTAAGTTTTAATGTAGCATGAATCTTCCAGATGTACAAGAGTCAAATTTTCTTTGTTGCACATCTGATATATTGAAAATTAGCTCGTTGGCAGAATCTCTCAAGCTATTTTTAATTAAACTTGCAATCCCATGTATATTTACATTTGGTAACACATAGTCAGTAAAACCAGGAAGCTTTTCTTCAGAGTAAAAAAATTTCAAGAGTTAATTCTGATGCATCACAGCAGTTAAGAAAGACATGGGTGATGTTGGGAATGGTATTAGGTCCATATAACATACATTCTTATTGTTCAAGGACTGTTAAATTTACTGTAATTTAACAAAATGCACATGAATTCTTGGAATAATGTTATAACTTTTGAACAAGAGAGGACTTTTTTGGTTTTTTGTTTACTTTTCAATTAAAGCAGGGATGTTTCTTCAGATGAAAGTATGGAAAGTCACCCCACGCAGAGAAAGAAATATTTTGGGGAATATTAAAAAGGCAGAATATTATATTTCCCCAAAGGATCTTAAAGGCAGAAAAACAGGCCCAGTTTTCTTAATAGCCCCAGGCAGAAAACAGCTTTGTGGAAATGTAGATTTGGTGATTCGTTCAGGAAAACTAGAGCCAGGAAGCTTGGAGCTGATGAGATTAGAAAAACAAAGACCTCTAATATCTACATCCCCCACCCAAACTCTAAAAACATGACATAATAGGATTAACCCACCATCAACAGAATACCAAAAGGACATGCTCAAAATCTCAGGACAAAATTCATGCCACAGGAACAGGAAACAACCTCAGACACAAAAGCCCAAGAAAGTATAAAAACCCACCACTTCCAGCTACCTGTGGTCAGCTTTCCTAGAGCCACATTTCTGTCTGACTCTGCTCATCAATAAACTACAACCTTCTTTCTAAAGCAGTCTCCATTTTCTTTATTCCTGGCTTGGACTGGACCCTGATAAAGATTTTTCTAACAATTTCAAAGGTAGCACAAACAATTTGAAGTAATGCTTCAATTTTTTCAATTAACTGCCAGAGTTATAAATACTCATCTTGGTTTTGACAGATAAAGTGAAATTTATTTACAGACTGAGAACAGGAGCTTTTATACTTCCTCTTTCTCTCAATACAAGTACAGCAGAAGTGATTGAGGCTTGCAGGAGGTTCGCTCTGTGCTTCTTTTTGAACTCTTAAGTTTACAATCCTCTTTTAAAAAATCCTGTGTTTAAATTATTTGAACAGCAGAAGATTGTATGCAGCAGAGGTGCCAGAATGAGTCACTCTAGGGAGCAAAGACTGTGTGTAGTGCTGAATTTTTTGAGAACAGTAAGCAGGAGGAAGCAATTGTTAGCAACTGTTTCTATGAGAAATAAAAATGAAAAATAACTGGCCCATCATTCAAGCACATTATGTAACAAGACCTGACCTGCCCTAGACATAAACCATAAATTAAGCAATATAATTTCCATTTGGACTAGAAATATTGGAAGTAGATATTTTCTAGTTAGAAGAATTTACTTAATGCACGTAAAATGGGAAAGGCTGTCTTGGATTTAACAATTGATAGTAAATTCAGCTCTTTATAGAATATATTTTACATTGCCCCAGCAAAACAATAAACATTTAAAAGACTGCCTAGGCAGCATGTTAAATGGCCTTTATTTGTCAGTTCTGACAACACTTAGAATGCTCCAGTGACATTTTTCTGCCTTATTATTGTAGCCTCTTGCTGATTACACACAATGTACATGAATAGCTGGTGAATAAACACACACACACACACACACACGCACACACACACACACACACACAGAGAGAGAGAGAGAGAGAGAGAGAGAGAGAGAGAGAGAGAGAGAGAGAAAAGAAAAATATATTCTATTATAATTTTTATTTTTCTCCCCATACTGTCTCTCAGGGCAGAAAACTGCACTAAATGCTTAACTTTATACAACAAAGTGCAGTAAAATGTAGCACATATGTTCAGGACTTCAGTCAATTACTAATGACCTTTGACAAGTTACATTATATATTTTTTTCTTTCTCTGTTTTCCCTTTCCTTTTTCCCCCCTCAGAAATCCATTAAGAAAATATTTCTTATGTAGCTCTTCAAGTCCTTAGGTTTCTGCAAATACTGTCTAAATCCTTACTGCTTTTCAGGAATGCCATTTTGGCATTGACTTCTCTCTGCAATCACTTCCAGCATGCTGTTAGAAGGGAATGGTACACAGACAACATATTTTAAATGCAAAGCTGAAGGGAAAAGTTTAACTTAATTTATAAGGGCATACCTAAAAAAAAAAAAAAGATTATTGCCACCAAGATAGTTAGTGCAGATTCAGCATTTTTCCTGGATATTACTGATTTGGCCAGTATCCAGTGGTATATTTGGGTATAAATGCCTACACACAAATGCCATAAACAGTTTCTGATTCTCTTTTTCTTAAACCATATTCACACGATCTGTCTGCATAGATTCTGGTAGGAAAGTGAGTGGGGTCGGCTATATATTTTTGTATATTGAGGATAAAGGTTGCAAAAGATTTGTTTCAAATGGATGCATTTATAAACTATCCTGTGATGAGGAAACCTGACTGGATCTATATGTGTATGTGGGGGGGAAGGTTGTTTTATCTTGGGGGGAGTGCCTTCAAATCAATATGGATTCCTGTCAACTGTATGAATAAGTTCCTGCTGGTTTTGTCCCTAAGACAGGACTAGAACGAACCTGAACCAATGTACCAAAATGGGTGTCAGGTTAGGTATCATGTTTGAAGATAATCTTTTGTAAATGTAAGATAAATCTGTAGAGGTATTAATAAGACTATTAAGGATGAGTGTCATGTTTCCGAAAGATGAAACTCTTCAAAGAACTTTGAGGCATTGTTTACCTTAAAGAATCTTTAATCGAGAAGCATAGCTTTGCCATGTACATAGGCGAAGCCAAAATCTGACTTCCCCTCCCTTCAGCATATAGATCAAAGCACAATTCCCTCCTACAACTAACAGTCATAAATCACATTCTCCAATTAGTTTGAATTGCTGGCTTTCTGCCCAGTTCGTTATCCTGCCATGCTTTATCAGCTCTTATTACAAAATTGTATGTCTAACTAACTCCCATCACCTTCCTCTCCCTCCACCAGTATTATCTAATTCTAAGAATACAGTATAAGACTGAAAAAGGCTGCATCTCCATCTGTTGTCAAAGCAAAAACATCCAATGTTAGCAGCACTGACAATAAGATTCACAGACATTCCTTTATTTTTCCTATTTTTAACATATGTGAAACCTGGCCAGTTCTTTGACATCCAATGTAGTAGATCAGAGAGAGAGACAATAGCTAAATCATTCCAAACAGTAAGATTAAAGGCATACATTTTAATTGAATTTTGTATTTAGAACAAAAAATTAAATATTAAAGCAACAGGGAAGTAACTAGATTTATTGGAAGTAAAACTTAAAAATTCTGCAATACACTATAAGACTTTCTTAGAAATTCTGGTTAAACTTTTACTCTGACTACGGAATGAGATTCTAGCCTTCAAAGAATTTGCTTTGTCATGGAACGAAGCTTTTATTCCTTTTGATTTGCTGTATAAAGAAGGAAAAGATGCAACATGCCTAGAGTCATAGAGGCTTATTTCTTTACTGACTGTAAATCAGTTTCTCATGGCAATGCTTGCACAGGGAATCATTGGTGTTTTTTTATATCTGAATGATATATTCTGATCAAACTGCATTCATTTTGAAGAGATATAAGAGAAAACATTTGACATATATTGAATATAATCAATAAGATATATCGAAACAACAATAAAATGACTGATCTTTCTTGATGCGGAAAAAGCCTTTGCAATTTTCAAATGGACCTACTATACACTTGAAAAAGAAATAATGCAACTCACTGTTTTTCACAAAGTATTTTTTTACTGCATGAATATATTTATGAAGAACAAAAAGCCAAAATAATAGCAAATGGTTCTAAAAGAATAATAAAGATTGAAGGAACTTTGGAGGTCTTCTAGTCCAACTCCCTGCTGAAGCAGGAAAGCCTATACCATTTCAGACAAATGGTTGTCCAATCTCTTCTTAAAAACCTCCAGTGTTGGTTGACTCTCTCCTTGATTAGTTTCTATCCATTGCATTTTGTCCTGCCTTCAGGCGTTTTGGAGAATAGTTTGACCACTCTTTTTTGTGGCAGCTCCTTAGGTATGGAAACACTGCTATCGTATCACCCTTTCTTTTTATTAAGTTAGATATATTTATTAAGTTCTTGCAACCGTTCTTCATATGTTTCATCCTACAGTCCCCCAATTATCATTATTGCTCTTCTCTGCCATCTTTTAAGAGTCTCAACATCTTTTTTATATTGTACTTGATGCAATATTCCAAATATGGTCTTACCAAGGCATTATAAAGCAGTATTAGCCAATGAAATCCTAGGCTGCATTAATAGAGGGATAGGGCCCAGTATTCAAGTCTGTCAATATTATTCTGAATTTTGAGCCTATATTCTGGAGTATTGGCTATTCTTGCTAGCTTAGTGTTGTCTGTGTAAGGACCCACCACACTTT